GAGCCAGGTTGCTAGAATCCCAGATATGGGGGCTCTCTGTCGCCCCAGAGAAGGGCTCACCAAAGGAACAAAGGCCTCTGATAGCATGTGTGTCCCAGAGAAAGACCCATCTCCAGCCCTCATTCCAATGCCAAACAGCTCAGTTCTTCCCTATAAGTGTCTGGCCCGTCGAGCTGCCTCCCCTCCAAGCTTAGAGGAAGTTAGTCCGATAAGTCTGTGTGGGCCCTTTAAGAGGAGCTGCCTGGGCCTCCAGCCGCCTCAGCCTCCCTGAGCCCCAGTTCCTGCTGGTTTTTCCAGCCAGAAGTTATGAGGATTCCCTTCCTGGCACTGCAACCCTGAGTGGGACACTTGGTGTGGGATGGGGACCCCTCAGTCCTCAGGGAGGACCTTCCTAGCCGAGATATCCTCTTGGTTTTTAGCTGCCACACGTGGGTGTGGGACCAGCCTGTCGTGCCTCCGCCCCTCCTACCAGTCTCAATCTGGCTGCTTCTTTAATTCCGTAGTTGTAGGACTTCCATGCAGCTTGATTTCAGGCGATTTTGAATGATGGTGGTTTAGTTGTAACTTTGATGTGTTGTGGGAGGACGTGATACCGCGTTTACCTACGCCGCCATCTTGACCGGAAGTCCTGGTATGTTTTTGGTTTTTTTATCCTCACCTGAGGACGTTTATCCATTTTTTGTTCAGATAGAGTGGGAGGGAAAGAGAGAGAGAAACATCGATGTGAAAGGGACACACCGAGTGGTTGCCACCTTCATAACCCAACCAGGGCCGGGGACAAACTGCAACTGAGGTACATGCCCTTAGCGGGAACCGAACCCAGGTCTCTCTGGACCAAAGGCTGACGCTCTAACCGCTGAGCCAAATCGGCCAGGGCAGTCCTGGTATGTTTTAATAACTAATTTGAGAAAATAGTTTGAGGCCTTCATATTCTTTCCCTTGAAAAGATATACATTTGTTTCTGTCAAGTGCCTGGGTACATTAAAATATAGCACTGTCTTTTTTTTTATCCTCACCTGAGGACATTTTTTGATAGTTTGTTCAGATAGAGTGGGAGGGAGAGAGAGAGAGAAACATCGACGTGAAAGGGACACATCGAGTCGTTGCCACCCACACGACCCAACCCGGGCAGGGGACAAACTGCAATCGAGGTACGTACCCTTAGCGAGAACCGAACCTGGGTCTCTCCAGACCACAGGCCAATGCTCTAACCGCTGCGCCAAACCGGCCAGGGTGAGCACTGTCTTAATTCAAGTTCAAGGCTTGAGGTTTTCTGGCCCATCCAGATGACAGTAATACTATGTTCAGGCTTTAGAAGAGCTGGTTTACCCAATCCTCACTCTTGGCGGGCCTAGGACTCCAACTTTTCTTCTTATTAACCAAAGAGCCAACAAAAACAACAACAAATATCACAGTTTAGTTCTTTTTGAAGCAACATATACTTCCAGGGCAAAGCAGAGTGGAATACTTGGCTCATTACTTTAGAGTTCTAGATTCTCTTAGGCCTTAATCCTCTAATTCATATTTTACTAATTCTTTGCTATCTTGATTTTTAAAAAGAAGTTTCCATAGTCCATCTGTTTAGTGTACAGAATGGTCCAAATTATTGTAAGTTTCCCAGAGTTTCCCATATTTTCTGTCTTAAATTTCTACCTTCACATCTTTCCCATCTATACCCTGCTTTTAATTAGTTGTCACAATCCTAGGCAAGGCCAATATTTTTTTTTAAAAAAACCTGGAATACATCGATGAGAGAGAATATCAACTAGCCACCTCCTGCATGCCCCTCACTCTGGACCAGGCCCACAACCTGGGCATGTGCCCTGACTGGGAATCGAATCAGTGACCTCTTGGTGCATGGATCGATGCTCAACCACTGAGCCACACCAGGTGGGCTCACTAAATGGGCATTAATGTTTCAGAATGAAAAACGAAAAGCTATTTGCAACATAGTCTGGGAAAGACTGAAATCAGTCTTCAAGATTCTTTTATTACACTTGTCTATTAAAAGTAGTGAGTCACTGACCACCTATTCAACTAGCCAGTTAAGTCATTAACACTCACATTATAGAGCTCGATTTTGGGGGTTTTGTCTCTAACTCCTGCCAAACCGAAATCGATTTTTCATCCATGTCATAATTTCAATAAAAGTTCTATTATAGAAAAAGAAAACCTAGAAATGGCTGAACTCAATTAAAATATTTACTAAACACTGACTATATATTAGTTCTATTATGTTGTAGGAAGGAAAGATGAGTAAGATAGTTTCTGCACAAAGGAATCTAATAAAAGTGATGAAATAGTAAATCAAATACATATTAAGATGCAAAGAAAAGAGTGATTAACTTTCTTGAGAAATAAGAAAAGCCATGTTAGAGGTAAAGCTTAAATTGGGGTTTTGAAAGACAATTAGGGAAAAGGACCTTAATAAGGAATGCATGACAGTCATGGGCCAATGACAATACAATTCCAAAGGTGCTCGTTACATTGATACCCACAGAAGCCCTGTGTCAGACAAAGAAAACATTTCTAAAGTTGAGGCGACACAAAAATAAATTTGGTGACCACCTTAAAGATTTTATACAACAAAAGTGTAATATGAGAACAGAAATAAAGATAAGATGCCAGAAAGGGCCCGGCCAGAGTGGCTTAGTGGATTGAGCGTAGTCCGTCCCATGGACTGAGGTCCTGGTTCAATTCCTAGTCAGGGCACATGCCTGGGTTTCAGGCTCAGTCCCAGCTTGGGGACATGTAGGAGGCAGCCAACTGATGTATCGCTTTCACATCGATGTTTCTATCTCTCTCTAAAAAAAACCCAATAAAAACATATTTTAAAAAAAAAAAAAAAAAAGCCAGAAAGGCAAACAGAGAGGGATTTTAAGTGTTGTCACAAATAAGAAAGGGAAGAAGAGACAACTCACTTTCTCAGTCTCTCTTGCTGGGAGGATTAATGCCTAGAAGGAGCAGAGTGGCCTATGGTTTATGAAAAAACAGTACTTGAAGAAGGTTCAGTGAGGAATTCACTCTTCCAAAAAAGTAAGGAGGCATCCAGTTTTTTGAAGCTGCAATAGCAGAAGTATTAGTCATGGTGTCACATGCCCAATATTGATATGAGCTGTGATGCCTAAGACAAATGGCAGCAGCAGCAGCAGCAGCAGCAGCACTGCTTCAACTAAAATAAGTTGACACTATGATTTGGGCATTTTCCTAGCTGCACAGCCTATATGGTTGATTCTCAATCATTAATGTCTTTTTCATTTAACACCATAACATTTGTTAACAACTAAAAATCTTGATTGATATTCAAGAAAAGAAAAAGGTTCATTTTAGAACAGATGAAATAACAGAATAAAAATAAGAATAAAAAATTATGATAGAATCAAAGCCCAGATGGAAAGGTTGGCCTTAAAAAGTAGGCCAGATATAGTCATTGCTGCAGTTCTGATTTGCTGTCCTGCTTCATCTGAAGGAGCATGGGAAGAATCTAATAAGTAGAGGAAATCCTACTTAATTTGTAAAACAGAAGAGAAATTAACCTAGAGTAAAAAAAGCAGAACGAAATGGCAAAGGTCCAGAAAGCCGCTATACAAGAAACGAGACCAAAAAGTTCAAATACTCCCTTTTCCACCAGCCAGCCCCTCCACCCCCTAAACTAATTTTTAAATATAATAAATCACTCATATTTAGGGTTAGGACAAATTTGTTTAAACTGTTTCGAGGCAAATAATAGAAATGGTTTGTTGGCAGGAATTTATTTATAGCTCTATTGTCCTTACTGGACCAGGAACTCCTCCTTCAGACTGGACTATGGCTCACTAATGAATAAAATAAAATAAACATGCATTGATATGCCTGGCATATGGAAATAAGGAAAGAGAGTCAAGAGAGAAGACAAAATTTAAAAATACTTCACAATTATGACTAGATAAGATTTATCTTTTAAGTATGTCAAAATAAATAGAAGTGATACTTGAATACATTCTATATTACCAAGTGGGAAGAAGATTTTGTTTTTTAATGCTATGTAACAAAAATTATTGGCCATACTGTCTATCTTTTCTTGTGATCCCTGGTATTCTAAATATTTACAAGATTTCTATACTTCATTTTTATACATTCATTATCCTTCATTTCTATATTCAAGAATTGGGAGATGCACGGTATCACTTAAACTATGCCGCCTTTCATTCTGTTTCTTTTCCTTTTCTGAGGATATTAACAAGGGGTGCGGGTGGCAAGGGAGGGAGAAAGGAATGGAGAGAGGCCAGGGCATTGGTATTGTTTTAAAAATCTCACTTTAACACTATGTCAGGTGATTCTCATGGGTACCCTAGGTAGATGATTACATTGTCTATATAAGGCTTTTCCTCCATTCAAAACTTTATACTACTTTTGATTTTAATGGGCATCCTTCTAATGTTTAAACATAAAGTATAATTTTGTGGTAGATTATTAGTTGATACCCTTATTCAGCTGAGAAATGACGTTAGTTTACTAGAATTTGTTTTTTCTAAATCGTGGATAAATGTACAATACTATTAAACACAGTATTATCGGCATTTATTATGATCACCTTTTGGTTTCTGTTCATTAACCTGTTAAACTAGTAAATGCTCTAGATGAGTTTTCCCTGCAATGGTCACCTATTCTTTCATTCCTAGGAGAAATCCTACTAGACCATAAATTCATTCAATTCAATTAAGCAATATTTTATTTATTAATTCAACAGCTATGTTCATACTAAAAACAGTCTTCTTATGCTGTCATCTTTGTCAAATTTTGTAACCCAGGTTATTTTAATTTGACTAACATAAACTAATAATGTCCTACCTTTTTCTATACTGAAATAACTTTCAATAGGACTGGCAGTCCCTTGAAGGTTTATTAAAAAGAACTTGTCCTTTAAAATTATCTGGTGCTGGTCTTCTGCTCTCTTGCTCAGAAGCCATGGAGGTCTCCGAGTTTCGCAGTTGTAGACGTTGAGCCATTGTGCAGTTGTGATGCTGTGTGGAAGCCGAAGCCGCACCTCCCGTATGGCCCCTCTGGCCAGTCGGGCACCTCAGATGAGAGCTGTGCCCAGGCCAGCACCAGCAGCTCAGCCACCACCACCAGTTGCATCATCTGCCATTGGCTCACCTGCTGCTGCACCCCAGCAGTCAGGTCTGATGGCCCAGATGGCAACCACTACAGCTGGTGTGGCTGTGGGCTCTGCTGTGGGTCACACACTAGGTCATGCCATTACTGGGGGCTTTAGTGGAGGAAGTAATGCTGAGCCCACAAGGACTGGCATCACTTACCAGGAGCCTCAGGGAACTGAGCTGGCATACCAGAAGCAGCAGCAGTTTGGCCCGTGCCACTGTGAGATGAAACAGTTTTTGGAGTGTGCCCAAAACCAGGGTGACCTTAAACTTTGTGAGGGTTTCAGTGAGATGCTGAAACAATGCAGATTTGCAAATGGATTAGCCTAATCAAGAAGTTCACGTTGAAGAAATGGAAAATCTTCTCTCTTGTCCAAGTTAATTTAGTATAAAGATGTAATTGATAGTGATAGTATAAAACTACCAGTTAACTCTATCATCAATAGTTTCTTTGCTTCAGAATTGCAATGGAAGGGAGTGTTCCTATTGTAGAGAAGTTCATTGAGATGGTACTGAGTTTGGGTCTGGACAGATGTTTATGTGGCCTCCTTAAACCAGCTTTCGTAATGTTAGTATTTGTGAATCTATTACAATAAAGTGATTTTCTTCCCCCAAAAAGATCATCTGGTGCTTTTTGGGGAAGGAGAGGTACATACCTTTTAGTATATTTATTACGTTTTTCCACGATTATTTTTCTACTTCCTCATGGGGGTGCAAAGGTTTAGGTAATTTACATTTCTGAGCTTTGAAATGTATTGGTAAAAGTGATACAGAATATTCATTTATACTTTTGAAATATTTTTCCTATCCATACTTATGCATTATTCCCAATATTGTTTATGCCTTTCCCCCCATATTCCCACCACATTTGCCAACAGTTTACTTCCCCGTTTTTCAAAACAGATTTAACTTATTGTTAGAACAGTTTTAAGTTAACAAAAAAACAGCAAAGAGTAGACAATTCTCATATATCCCTGACTCCCACATGCACACAACCTCCTCCACTATCCACATCTCCCCACAGAGTGGTACATTTGATACAATCAGTGAACCCATGTTGACACATCATTATCACTCAAAGACCATCATTTACATTAGGGTTCACTTTTGGTATTGTACATTCTATGGCTTTGGATAAATGTATACTGACATTTTTCCACGATAACAATTTTATACAGAATAATTTCACTGTCTTAAAAATTCTTTTGTTTCTGCACATTCATCTCCACTACCACCACCACCCATCACTTGGGCAGGGTGGGGTGTGCCTCCCATACACGCCTGGACCAGGGATTGAACCTGCAACCTCGGTATGTACCCTGACTGAGAATCAAACCTGCAACCTTTTGGTGTATAGCACAACACTCCAACCAACTGTGGCACCCAGCCAGGGCACCATACAGTTGGTATTATAGAATATGCAGCCTTTTCAGATGGGCTTCTTTTTTTTTTAATTCTCACCTGAGGATATATATAATTTTTCCTATTTATCTTCAGAGAGAATGGAAGGAGAGAGAGGGAAACATCGATGTGAGAGGGACACATCAACCAGGGCCGGGGCCGAACCACAACTGAGGTACGTGCCCTTGACCAGAATTGAACCCGTTGACTCTTTGGTCTGAGGGCTAACGCTCTAACCACTGAGTCAAAACTGGCCAGGGCCAAATTGGCTTCTTTTTACTTAGTAATATACATTTAAGGTTCCTCCACTGTTTTTCATGGCTTGATAGGTCATTTCTTCTTATCACTGAATAATAAATTCCATTGTCTGGATGTACCAAATGTATCCATCCATTCACCAGGCAATTATAAATAAAGCTGCTGTGATCATCTGTGTGCAGGTTTTGGTGTGGATAGAAGTTTTTAACACATCTGGGTAAAAACCAGGGCGGCTAACTGCTGGATTATATGTTAAAAGTATGTTTAGCCCTGGCCGGTTTGGCTCAGCGGTTAGAGCATCGGCCTGTGGTCCCGAGAGACCCGGGTTCGGTTCCGCTGGGGGCATGTACCTCGGTTGCAGTTTGCCCCCGGCCCTGGTTGGTCGTGCGGGTGGCGGCCGCTCGATGTGTCCCTTTCACATCGATGTTTCTCTCTCTCTCTTTCTCTTCCTCTCTCTCTCCCTCCCACTCTACCTGAACAAAAAAATGAAAAAAATGTCCTCGGGTGAGGATAAAAAAAAAAAAAAGTATGTTTAGTTTACTAAGAAACTGCCAAACTGGAAGCAAAATGGCTGTACAATTTTACATTCCCTACCAGCAATAAATGACAGTTCTTGTTGCTCCACATCTGCATCAGTATGTGGTGGTGTCAATGTTTTGGATTTTGGTCATTCTTATAGGTATGTAGTGGTATCTCATTTTAATTAGCAATGCCCTAATGACATGATATTGAGTAACTCTTCATATGCTTATTTGACATCTGTATATTTTCTATGGTGAGACATCTATATTCAGATTTTTGCCTGTTTTAAAAACTGGACTGTTCTATTATCGGATTTAAGAGTTCTGTGTATATTTATCAGATGTCTTATGCAAATATTTTTTCCCAGTCTGAAATTTATCTTCTTATTCCCTTATTAATGCCTTCTGAAAATCTATTTTAAAGAGCTACTCCTTTGGTTTTACTTCGTTTTGTCCCCGAGTCCATTAATATTGCTTTATCATAAATACCTATCCTATTCTCTTTAGGTTTATTTAGTATTTTTCTAACCTCCTGCTCCAAAGGCTTAGTTTCCTACCTTATTCTTTTTCTTATAAACATACTAAGATCGTAAATTTCCCTGTACCTCTTCAGCCACACTCCTATCATATGTTCTCTCATTATTTAGTACTAATTATTTTAGTAATTTCATTTTTGATTTATAAGAGCTACTTGGAAGTTTAAAAATAGAATGCATAACAATTTTCCTTCAAATTTATTATAGCCTACGATGTGACCAATTTTAAAATAATATACTCTGAAAGGTACCAAATACCAACTACATAATTTAAATTCTATGTTTGTTTATTGATAAAGTCTAAACAGTGTAAGGATAGTTATATGTCAAGAGGGAAAAGAAAGAGCTAGCATCCATAAAATAAGAATGAAGTTATTAAAATGAATAAAGTTGGATACTGCTGAAAAATATTCAAGATGGATGCAGAAAGAAAAGCAAGTTAGTAATAAAAATAATTCAACAAACGTTTTAAAATTTCTCTGTAAAATGGTATATCAGAATAAAATTACTGATGGGTTAAAAAAGAACCAAAAACTTAGTGATTTAAAAATAAACCTGAGGAACTTTCACAGACCAGAGAAGACAGACAAAGATGACAAATACAAAGTTATTTTGAAAAGAATTACAAGTGATGTCAGAGGAATGGCAGCATAAGAGATCCCTTTGGTCTCTCCCTTGAACCTTCAATAATTTGAACAATTATAATTCAACAAAGGATTCCCTGCTCAAATCACAACACATCTGAGAGGTCCAGGCACTAAAACATCTAAAAGTAGGCAAGTGGGAGCAAAAAGGGGAGGCAAGAAGGGAGAAGAGCTCAAAGGAGCCCTGTAGAAAAGAAGAATCAGGTTGTGAATGGCACTCCCTTCGAGCAGGAGGAGCAGAGAGATTAAGTGAGCATTTCTGCAGGAGTGAGCTGTGATCTGGGCAGGGAGGAGGCACAGAGGTGTGGCTGTGGTCGTCTGGGCAATTGACACTGCAGAAAAAGAAACAAAGCCTGGCCACCTTCCCTTAGCCCTTTCAGTCAGGTAGCAGAGCACATTATCTGCAAACCTGAGAACTGGTACTAGAGAAAAACTTTTTCCCTGGGCAACAGGCAAAGTCTGCGACTAATCCCAGGGTTGAGTGGAGGTGGAGGGGGGGATGCCGCAAGGTCCGAGGTCGCATTGTTGGAACGTCAAAGCAACAAAAGGAGGCAGCTGGGTTCCCCCAGCTCACTCCACTTCAAGATATTTGGAGCCCCACTGCCAACCATGTTCCACTGCAGGGTTGGTCACTACAACTGGATCACAGGGGAGGCAGCCACTCACCTTCCCAGGAAACAAAGGCTATTTTCCACCACCCCACAGAGATCTGAAAAGCCAGAGTGCAAGAGAGCTAAAAAAAACATGTCACTTGGCACCACCTACTGAAAAACAATAGAAAGACTTTTTATCAATCTACTAGAAAAATGCCACTCATAGATACTTAGACAGAGAAGTAATCCATCAAATACTATGAATAACCAAGGTACCGGGCAAATCAGAAACAAAATGAAAAATATCCAGAAAACAAATTTAAAGACATGGACATATGTAATTTAAATGACAGAAAATTCAACATTGCAGTTCTGAAAAAAACTCAATGAGATGCAAAAAAACACATGTGTAGTTTAATGAACTCAGAAACCAAATCAACAAACAAAACAAGTCCTTTACCAAAGAGACTGAAACATTAAAAAAGAACTAAAATAGCCCTAGCCAGGGTGGCTCAGTGATTAGAATGTAGGCCTACACAACAAAGGGTCACAGGGGTTTGATTCCCAATCAACGGGATGTACCTGGAGGCAACCAACCAATGAGTCTCTCTCATATTGATGTGTCTGTCTTTCTGTCTCTCTCTCTCTCTCTCTCTCTCTCCCTCCCTCCCTTCCGCTCTATCTAAAATCAATAGAAAAAATATCCTTGGGTGAGGATTAACAAAAACAAACAAACAAACAAATAAATAGAAATTCTAAAGATAAAGAACTCAATTAAAGAGATCAAGAATTGACTACCAAGTATAGGAAATAGAGCTGACCAGGAAGAATTAGTGGTATCAAAGATAGAAATCTAGAAATGATGCAGAGGGAAGAAGAAACCTGAGCATAAAAGAAAATATGAAAGAACTATCTGACTCAACCAGAAAGAGCAACATAAGAATAATAGGCATGCCCTGACCAGTTTGGTTCAGTGGTTAGAACGTTAGCCTGCAGATCAGTGTGTCCCAGGTTCGGTTCCCAGTAAGGTCATGTAGTTTGGGTGCAGTTTGTCCCTGGCCCAGGTTGGGATTGGGTGGGTGGTAACCATTCAATGTGTCTCTCTCATATCAATGTTTCTCTCTCTTTCTTCCCTCCTCTCTCCCTCCCACTCTATCTGAAGATAAATGCAAAAATGTCCTTGGATGAGGATAAAAAAATAAAAAATAATAGGTATACCAAAGAAGAAGAGAGGAAGAAGAGAATGGAGAGCCTATTGAAATAAAAAGTTGACAAGAACTTCCCAAACCAATAGAGAGCTAGATCCTCGAATCCAAGAAGCAAAGAGAACACCTAACTACCTCAATCCAAAATGGCACTCTCTAAGGCACATTGTGTTAAACTGTCAAAAATTAATGATTTAAAAAAATAATTCTCAAGAGAGCCAGAGAAAAGAAAGTAACCTATTCAGGAAAGCCCATTACGTTACCATTGGAATTCTC